GAAATTGCAAATACTATGGCTTGGATCAGGTGCATCTTAGAGTCAGACTGACATCATTGCTCTTCAGTACTCTGGAGAAGTTCCTGACAGTGGACTTTCCCAATACGATTTGTCATTTGATTTCCTGGCTGCTGGTATCAAGAGCATTGATTGTAGAGCCAAGCAAACTGAAGCTGTTAACAATCCCAATCTCTTCACTATGAAGATGCTGCCAGTTGGTCTAGGGGTGAGAATCTTTGTTTTCTTGATGTCCAGCTTCAGTCCATATTGAAGGCTGCAGTCCTTGACCTTCTGCAGCAAGCATTTCGTGTCCTCCTCAGCTTCAGCAAACAAGGTTGTGTAATCCGTATAAAGCAGGTTGCTTGTCTGTCAGAAATTTTGATATATTGTGTTTTAATTTTCATTTGCTTCAAGGAACTTTTAATTTTTATTTTATAACCCATTTGTGCTCTAGACAGTATTATCTCGTTTCCACATGAGTGTCTTTTCAACGCTGTAATTTGCATGAGAGATTGCCTGGTGTTTTTAAAAGGATAGAGAGATACAGCCTTTGAATTAGCAGCACAACTTCCTATGCACTGCACCACTAGGGCGCTCTGTATGTAATAAAGGCACTCTGCAAATATTTATTGGATATAACAGGATTCAGATCTTTTGTTCATAGAGTTGCTATGACTTGTACTTGACCTAACAACAACAACAACAGTTTGTTGATTTGTTAAAGATGGTTACCATAAAGGGAAAAATAAGTGAAATGGTGAACTTGCAATTGTATGTTCATTGAGTGATTTAACAAAAGATTTAGTGAAGAGAGATTAACATAAAAAGGGAGACTATGAAATAAATAGCTGATAAATATAATAGTAATCTAACGCATACATATGTTAAGTACCACCAAGTGGAATATGATTCATAGCAGCCCTATGAACATTAAATTGGAACTCTATCCTGTCCTGTGCCATCCTTATCATCCCCAACACACTCGAAAACCTATTGCCACAGTCGCTGTATTATTGCGTCACATTAAGAGTTTTCCTCTTCTTCTCTGACCCTCCACATTTCCAAGCATGATGTCCCTTCCCAAGGAATAGCCTTTTCTAACAAGATATCCGACATATGTCCATACGTCATGGGAAGATTATTATTTCAATCAGATGAGTCTTTAAATGGTCTTTGCTCTTCAGGACTTTGGAACCATCCCTGACAGCATATTTCACCCAATATTACATGTCTCCTGATCTCCTGACTGCTAGTCCCATGGGAATTAACTATTGATCTAAGCAAGATTGACAGTTTCAATCTTCTGAAATTGTTGACAGTTTCAATCTTTTCTCCATCTATGATGATGTTGCTTATTGGTCCAAACTGAATGCATAGAATATCATCATTCTTGTGAGCTATATTATACATTGGTCTACCTTTGCCCCATAAGACATTCAAATGTTAGACTTGGAAGGATTACTTTGTATCATTCACCTCAACCTGCTAATTTACAGATGATGAAACTGAATTAAAGTATTTACTCTAGTGTGAAGGACAATGGAAGAAATCATTTAAGTTTATACTGGTTAAGGGCTAGCATTTCTGATTACAAGATGCAATGTTCCTTCCAACACTGTGTGAACCATGAAAAGTTAATCTACAATGCAAAATCATCTACAAACACTAATGATAAGGAATTTTGTTTCCAGCATTAAATTTGTTGAAGCTGCTTTGAAAGAAATAGCAAAAAATAAGGCCCCAGGAATAGATGGTATATCAATTGACATATTTCAGCTAACAGATGTTGCCGTGGATGTGCTCACTAAGTTGTGCCAAGAAATATGGAGAACAACTACTTGGCCAACTGACTGGAAGAGATCTATATTTGTTCCCATTCCAAGAAGGGTGACCCAACAGAGTGTGGAAACTATAGAGCAAGCTCATTGATTTCACATGCAAACAAGATTCTACTGAAGATTACCCAAAAACAACTGGAACAGCATATCAGCAGATAATTGCCAGAAGACCAGACTGGGTTTAGAAGGGGTCATGGTACTAGGGATATTGTAGCTGATGTTAGATGGATCTTAGCTGAAAGCAGGGAGTACCAGAAGAATGTCTATTTGTGTTTCATTGATTAGGCAAAGGCATTTGACTGTGTGGATCATAACAAACTGTGGCTGACTCTGAGAAGAATGGGAATCCCAGAACATTTAACCGTGCTAATGCGAAACGCACACTTGGACCAAGAGGCAGTTGTCAGAACAGAGCAGGGTAACACTGCATGGTTCAAAATTGGGAAGGGTGTACGCCAGGGATGTGTCCTGTCTGCATGCTTTTTCAACCTGTGTGCAGAATAGATTATCCGGGAGGCTGGGCTCTATGAGGAGAAGTGTGGCATCAGGATTGGTGGAAGATCTATTAACAATCTGCGTTATGCAGAAGACACAACCCTGCTTGCTGAAACTGAGGAGGACCTCATGCACTTGCTGCACAGGGTCAATGACTGCAGCCTTCAGTATGGACTGAGGCTCAGTGTCACGAAGACAAAGATTCTCACCACCGGACCAATTGGTAGCATCAGGATGGATGACGAAGAGATTGAGATTGTTCACAGCTTCAGTTTGCTCAGCTCCATGGTCAACACTCTTGGCACCAGCAGCCAGGAAATAAAAAAACGTATTGCGATGGGAAAGTCTGCTGTTAGGGACCTCTCTAAAGTACTCAAGAGCAACGGTGTCTCTCTGGAGACTAAGGTGCGCCTGATACAGGCCATGGTCTTTGCAATCACTTGTTATGCATCAGAGAGTTGGACAATGACTAGGGAGGACAGAAGGAGAATTGATGCCTTTGAGCTGCGGTGCTGGAGAAGAGTATTGAATGTACCATGGACTGCTAAGAAAATGAACAGGTTCATCCTGGAGAGGGTTAAACCAAGCTACTCCTTGGAGGCAAGGATTCTGGGGCTTCGTCTGACATACTTTGGACATGTTGCCAGGAGGTCCTTGGAGAGGGACATCATGCTTGGGAGGGTGGAAGAACAGTGCAAGAGGGGAAGACCCTCTATGAGATGGATTGACTCAGTGACTGGAGTAATCGGGATGGGTGTGTCAGAGGCAGTGTGTTTGGCATAGCACAGAGCAGGGTTTGGGGCTGTTGTACATAGGGTCGCTATGAGTCGCAAACGACTCGATGGCACATAACAACAAACAACAACAATCTTGTTTAGGCTCTGTATTCTAAATCTCTTTTCTGCTTTTGCCCTTAGAACATCATATTTTGTTTTTTTGTGTGGTTTTTTTTTTTTTGGATTTTCAGAAAGGTTTATTATAAATTCTAAGGATGGTAGTACAAGAAGCCACTTCTGCCTTGCTTGTCTTAGGTGCTGCCTTGAGTGGGGCTCTTCCTGGGCCCAGCCCCCTTGGGCAGCCTGGTGGCACTGGACTGTCTTGGCATCCTCTGGCTGGCTCCCTCCCGACTGTTCCGTTCTGCCAGGCCTGAAGTTCCACCAAGTGTGGCACTGCCTTTGTTTCTCCCTCGGGTTTCGGCCACGCCAGCGGCGGGCAGCAGCAGGGCCGTCGACTCCATAGGTTCGCTCGCCAGGCCCCGGCCGGCGCACATGGACTTGAGCATCTGGAAGACAGCCAGAGGGGCCACGTTCATCTTCAGCAGGTCTACCAGGATTTTGAACACGTCGGGATCCATGGCGCCGCCCGCACCAGCTCGTACAGCTCCATCTCCTCGGCGCTCAGCACCTTCTTCCTCCGCAGCACCAGTTTCTGCAGGGCCTCATCCAGCCCGGGAGACGCACCCGGCCCCGGCCCCGCGCCCCCCCGTGGCCATCAAGGTGCCAGATCACAGAGGCCCATATTTTGTTTTAAGTCCTGCTTTGTGAATGCTTCCTTTCCACGTGCTAAGATACCACGTGCTGTTGTTGTTCATAGGTGCCAGCAAGTCGAGTAGAACTCATAATGACCCTCTAAACAATGAATCTGAACCTGTACTCTCCTCATAATTTCTGATATAGTCAAACTTATTGCTGGTATCATTTGATCTAGAAAACCCTCAAACATACTTAGAGCTTGTTCAGTATTACCTTCTTATTTTTCTGATGAAAGAGGAATGCAATTTGATAAGCTATACTAACAAGAGGCTAACCATGAAAAGGTATTAATGAAATGATATAAATATATAAGTGCAAACAATCTCATTTATATTTTACATGTATAACATATTTAGCCAAACCCACTGTTGTCAAGTCAATTTTGACATGGGATGACTCGCTTTTAGATTTCTAATGTAAATCTTACTTGGGGCAGATTGCTTCATTTATCTCTTTCAGCTTGTGGATTTGATCTGTTGACCTTTGTGCAAGCAGTCCAGCATGTAACATTGAACCATCAAAGCTCCTTTAGCGTTGATACAGAAGGGAAAAAAAAGAACTATGAAAAATAGAAGTCAGAATAAATGATAGTAAAAGTCAGAATAAATTATCTGCAAGTAAGGAGAACTCCATGAGACAAGCTATAAGAGAAAAATCAATGAGTTATTTTCCATTTCCTTTTTCTTCTCCAGGTTGTTACTACATTGCATCTATATAATGCTTTCTAAAAACCAATTTGAATGAAAACACAAGCTTTCTGTAAACTGTCACCAAAATCACAATTGAAAACGTAATTTTACTTATTCATATCCATCAAATCGTCTAAAATAAAAATAAGAAAAGAAGAAAACACAACAATTTAGCATTTGTTTTAAAACAATCTTCTCTAATACAACCTGGAGTATTTTAGTGAGCTTGTGTGTAAATAAGAAATAGTACTGTGTGCTAATAAGCTAATGCCCATTTTCTGTAACTACAGGTTAAGGAGTATATAGAGATGTTTTGACTTTATGTAGTAAGATATCATTTCTTTGCAATTTGAAATTTGTATACTCAGCGACCCTCCACAAGGTTGATTTCATCTTTATTCTCTTTTTTGTAAGTAGTGTCAGAGGTAATTCTGCTGACAGAGGCCATGTATGGAGTCAACCACTCTGTTGTATCTGAATTTGTGTTCCTGGGACTCTCAAATTCGTGGAGTATCCAACTTCTCCTCTTTTTCCTTTTCTCCATGTTCTATGTTGCAAGCCTGTTGGGGAACCTTCTCATTGTGTTCTCAGTGACCTATGACCCTCATTTGCACTCTCCCATGTATTTTCTGCTGGCCAATCTCTCCTTTCTAGATCTAGGAGTTTGTTCTGTTGGGACTCCCAAAATGATTTATGATCTTTTCAGAAAGCACAAAGCAATCTCTTTTAGGGCCTGTATAACCCAGATCTTCTTTATTCATGCTATTGGAGGCACAGAAATGGTGTTACTCATAGCCATGGCTTTTGACAGATACGTAGCTATATGTAAGCCTCTCCATTACCTGACTATTATGAATCCACGAATGTGCATTTTTATTTTGACTGCTGCCTGGATTCTTGGCTTAATCCATTCAGTTGTTCAACTGGCTTTTGTTGTAGACTTGCCCTTCTGTGGGCCTAATGTACTGGACAGCTTTTACTGTGACCTCCCTCAGCTTATTAAACTTGCTTGCACAGAGACCAATAAGCTGGAATTCATGGTCACAGCTAACAGTGGAGTAATTTCTGTGTGTTCTTTCTTTCTACTGATAATTTCTTACATTTTCATTTTGGTTACTGTTCGGAAACACTCTTCAGGTGGTTTATCCAAGGCTGTCTCCACTTTGTCAGCTCACGTCACTGTGGTAGTTTTATTCTTTGGGCCATTAATCTTCTTCTATACATGGCCCTTCCCCTCCTCACACTTGGACAAGTTTCTTGCTATATTTGATGCAGTTCTTACTCCTTTTCTGAATCCACTCATCTATACCTTCAGGAATAAAGAAATGAAAGCTGCAATGAGAAAACTTTTCAGTCAATTTGTGATGTACAGGAAGATGTTTTATTTTATTTTTTTTTCTTTCTGACAGTTGACAGAAGGCTGTTGTACCCGAGACGCCAAGAACTAAAAAAAAGTCCCTTTAATTAAATGTAAACCCTACACAGATGCACACGTCCATGCCCCCTCTCCTTGGTGGCCTTCTTCCGGCGGGAACACCAAGCAGACGCCCTTTTGGGGGCAGCGGACCGGAGCAGGCCCAGGTCTGGAGGACAGAGTGGCAGCCCCTGTGGGGAGCAGTTCGGGACCACAGTCTTCAGTCCTGGCATGATGCCGAGTGGGGCGGTCCAGACAGTCACTGCTTGGCCTTCTTCACGATAGTGCCCACTGCGGAGATGACTGTGGTCTTGGAGCCACCGGCACTGGTGGTCACAGTGACAACCGCGGGCAGGGTGGCGGTGGTGGTGAGGATGGTGGGCTAGGCGATTGTCGTCACGGGGACGGCGGAGTCCCACTTGCTCTTCCTCTTCTGGGCGTCTGCCACGGCCGTGCTGGCCGTGGTGGTGGCAGCAGTGGTGCTGGTGGTCGTGCCCTTCTTGGTGCCCGTCACAAACTCAATTTTTGTTCGCTCCTTCTTGGCCTTTTCCAGTTTGTCCATTTCAATCTTCTGGGCTTTGGCTAATGCCTCATAGTACGAGTCCTCAGACCAGCCGTGGGGGTCAAACATATCCTTTGGGTAGTTGGTGCCGAGCTCGTCAATCGCACAGAACTGGATCAGTTTCTCGTAGATGCTGGGGTTCTGAAATGCCTTCTTCCTTTGAATAATGTAGTTCATATCCATCCCCTCCTTTATCTTCCGCTCGTACAGTTTCTGGATCTTGTCCTGTAGGTGATTGGAACACCGGCCGGGGGGCTCTGGAGGAATCTTGATTTCATCGGGCAACATGTTTCGAACTCTTTCAGAAAAGGAGGCAACTAGTTCTTGGGGGTCCCGTTTTTCTACTTCGGTGTTATCCTTTAGGTCATCAGCCTCAGGTTTTTCGCTTTCTGAATCGTCATCTTCCGATTGCCTGCTGTTCTCATCATCCTCTTCTTCAAAGCCATCTTCATCACCTCCAAGGCGAGAAAAGTCATCATCTCCATAGACTTCAGACACCAACCTGCCTTTCTCCTCAGCCGCGCCGCCCGCTGTTTCGACTCCACCTTCGCCTTCAGACTCGGGCTCTGAATCCTCCGCATAAAATGCCAGAGACGACAGGACATTCTTTTTCCCCGCCATCTTACTCGGACAGACCCAGCGCAGCTCACTTCTATAACTTAGAGGCGACAACTTCGCAGCAGAAAGGCGACTGGAAAAGCGACCTCTTCCAGGTCCCAGGAGACCTCCTGCGGGCTGCCGATCGAGGACCAATCAAAACGGCCGTCTCTGCACATGGCCCCGCCCCTCGCGTAGGAAGAGGTTTTAAATACTGTAATATATACTAAAAACAACTCTTAGTTGCTGTAGAGTCAATATCAACTTGTAGCTGAACAACCACTGGGTTTTTGGAGGTTGTAGATTGTGCTGGTGGAGAATGCCTGTTGTTTCCCTTTGGAATAGCTGGTATATTCGAACTACATGCTCCTGGGTTTATAGTATAACTCCTTACCAACTATCTGGAAGAGATCTATATTAATGTTCCTATTCCCAGGAAAGGTGATCTAATGTAATGAACAATATCATTAATATCATATGCAAGAAAATATTGCTGAAGATCATCCAAAAATGGCTAGCATAATTTACTGACAGAGAACTGCCTTCATTCACCTAGATTTAGAAGACACATCAGGGATAGCGTAACTGATGTGAGACAGATCTTAGTGAAAAGCAGAGAATACAAGAAGAATATATATTTGTGATTATTGCCTATGCAACGGCATTCAACTGTGTGAATCATAATAAGCTATGAGTAACATTGAGAAGCAGCGCGGGCACAAGCCGAGACCAGGCAACACAGAGGACTCCCACAATAGCTTCTGACATGCCTCCAGATAACAACCCCAAGGCGGAGCCTAAACCGTTTGGGCCCTCGGGCCTCGGGCCAAGAAGGAAAACACAATCTATGCAGGAGTTCTAGAGGACACATCACCTTCCCTTCAGAGAGAGTACAAGTAAACTTAAGAGACAAGGGACACAGTTAAAAAAAAATCTCTCTGACAAGCTGTCAAGTCATGGGTCGGACAATGGGACATTAATTCTGAAGGCATTTGGTAGAAGTGAAGTGGTATCCTGCTAGAGGGTGGAGCTGGGAAATAAGTGGGTCAAGGCACTGGGCTAAGGCAGGGACTACACTGTAACTAATGGTCAACTCCAAAATGAGGGATTTATCTTTCACTACTCCACAAAT